ATACATGAAGAGATGCTCACGATCATTGGCCATCAGAGAGATGCAAATCAAAACAATGAGATACTGTCTCACCCCAGCACTGATGGCAAGGTTCAGTGAGACAGAAAATAACAAATGCTGGCAGGGATGTGGAGAGATTGAGACTCTCATGCACTGCTGGTGGGACTGTGAAGTGATACAGCCATTGTGGAAAGCAGTATGGCGATTCCTTAGAAAGCTGGAAATGGAGATACCATTTGACCCAGCAAACCCATTTCTAGGTATATATCTTAGAGAATTGAGAGCCAGGACAGGAGCAGATATATGCACACCCATGTTCATTGCAGCACCATTTACAATAGCAAAAATATGGAAACAACCTACGTGCCTTCAGTGGAAGAGTGGATGACCAAACTGTGGTACATACACAATGGAATGCTATGCAGCAGTAAAGAATAATGTAGAGTCTGCAAAACACCGTATAACATGGATAAACTTGGAGGACATTATGCTGTGTGAAATAAGTTAATCACAGAAGGACTAGTATAGTATTAGTTCATTGTTGTGGAGGGTCAAGGAGAGGTTTATATATGCAGGGAAACTTTCTTTGTTGGTTGCCAGGGGTGGGAGGGGAGTGGAGGGAACACTGCAAAAAAAAAAAAAGCATTGACCCATGTCACTTTAGTTTTGTGTATTTCACTGTACATAAATTATATTTCAATAAAATGCATTGAAAAATAGTTGTTAGAAAAGGTAACATTTATTCAGCTCTTGCTAGATGCAATGCCCTGTTCTATGACTTTTATGCCTATTCCTATTACTGCATTATGGCAACCTTATGAGGAAGGTGCTAGCATGCTCCTCATTTTACAGTTTGAGAAAGTGTAGACGTAGGGAGGTTAAGTAATGTGCGTATAGTCCTTTGGTAAAGAGCTGGGAATTGAATTCAGGCATTCTGATTGCAGAGTCTTACCTCTTAAACCCAATGGAATGTGTCCTACTTGGTTGGATACATTCTATTTAACTTCAAACATTATTTTACTTTTGACTAGGTGGTATATAGGGAGCTTTGGTGATGTAGTGTTTAAGGCATTTGGCTGCTAACCCAAAGGTTGGTGGTTCAAACCCACCAGCAGCTCCATGGAAGAAAGATGAGACAGTCTGCTTCTATAAAGATTTATAACCTTGGAAACCCAGTGGGGGTCACTGTGAGTCAGAATTGACTTGATGGCAGTGAGGTTGTTTTTTTTTTTTTTCTTTTGGTTTAGATGGTATATGCATATAGTTTAGAATTTGAAAGCCACAAAAGGTTATACTGTGAATAAATCTCCTTCTATATTAGTCAGGGTCCTGACTGGCACATGTATATCAAGATAGTTCAAGACGGATTTGTTTACAAAGGGATTATTTACAGAAGTGTGGTGTAGAGGAACCACAAGGGGCAGTGTAGTACCCGTAGCTACTAGTACCCAGTATGATACATGGTGTGCTTATGTCTAAAGAAATTTCCTAGTAGTAGACCTAGTAGTAGACTGGGTCACAGGATATGTATATTTTAACCGATGACAAATTTTACTGAATTGCTTCCAAAAAAGTTTGTTCCTGGTTTGCTCCCACCAATAGAGAGAGAGAGTGTAAGATTTACCATTCTCTCCTTAATGCTGCATGTGATCAAATTCAAACATTTCTGCCCATTTAACACTTTAAATTATTTTAGGGGAGATTGTATTTCTTTAATTACAAATGAGACTTAGCATCTTTTTACAATGTCTATTAGTTATTTTTATAATTCTCTTGTATTGATATCTGTTGGCCATTTTTATACAGGGGACTCTTTTTCCCTTCTTCTTCTTGTCTTTTTCTTATTGATTTTAAGGAGCTTTCTATATAATAAAGATGTAGCCTTTTATTATAGGTGTTGCAAATATTTTTCTTTTACCTTTATCTTTTTTTTTTTTTTTTTTTGCACCAGAAGTGGCATACCAAAAGGCAGTGAGTGAGTGCCCTGTTCTGAAAATGTGTGTGTGTTCTTTCAGATCATTACATAGAAGTCCTGGGATGCAAAATGCAGTGTGAAGAAAATCTCACCCCGGTAATAGGAGGCTATCCTGTCGAGAAATTTGTGGCCACTATGTATCATTATTTGCAGTTTGCTTATTATAAATGTAAGTAATCATCTCTGCAGACCATAGAAAAGTGCTTTATCCTCTTAAGGCTCACTTTCCCCATCTGTAAAATAAGGTAATAACCTTTCCCTCCTTAGGGTTATTGGGAGAGTTTGAGGTCACATCAATAGCCTTGGTGTCATGTCTGGCACAAAAAGGCAGCATGACCTAGTGATTCTGGGCACAGACCCTGCAGCCCGATTGCTTGAGTTTGAATTCCAGCTTTGTCACTTAGTAACTTCTCTGTGCCTCTGTTTCTTCATCTATAGAGATAATTAGACTAACCTCATGGGATGTTTGTGAGAATAAAATGAGTTGATATACATGAAGTGCTTATGGTAGTCACCCATTCGCACATAGCAAACCCTGTAAGAGTGTATGCCTTTTTATCATTATTTCTTTTCCTCCTCACATTAAGCTTACTTTTCAGACTGTTAAGAGTTTCATTCCAGTTGGTACTCTCTTGAGCTGAAATTGGAGTTTTTTAATCAGAACATTTGAAGTGGACAAAATGAAATGACTGCTGGAAAGAAGGTAGCTCAAAGTTCAGACTTCAGAGCTTGTCCATTTTGGTTTTTCCTTGTTTTCATGTAACTGACTTTATGGAGTGCTTCGTGTTTGAGCAGTAGATAACTTGGAGATTCAGTGACAAGCATTACAAGCAACAGGAGGTTTTACTGGGAACAGCTGCAGCAGAAACTACTCTGTCCTAATGAAGAAATGCCAAGATCTACATATAGCAAGTTTCTTCTGGCCAGAATGCATGCTCTTGGGACACCCCTTCAAACTCAGACAGGGCTGTCCTGGGAAGAAGCGTGACCTTAGCTTCCATAGCTTATATTCTTTCTCTCATAAAAGCTTATATTTTTTCTTTCATAAAAGCTTATATTCTTTGTTGAACTCCCTCTTTCCATAACAGCCACCTACTCATTATCCCATCTTCTTTCCTCTTTAGGACACAGTGAAAATCTTGCATGCCAAAATACACACACAACACACACATACACTGAATCTTCCTGAAGAAGGTGACTTACCTCTCTCATCAGTGAACCTGCTCTTTGGGCAGCCTGACCTTCATTTCAGGACTCACTGAGAAGTTTGTTTCCTTGGTTGGAATATTTTGGGGATCAGCAAGGGGGTGAGGTATGTTTTAAAGTAGTGTCCTTCCCAGAAGCCCCCCTGCACTGAGGGCAGATGAGATTTGTCTTTGTAACCCTAGCAACTAGCTAGAGGACAAGAGTCTAGTTCTATATAATCTATGAATACGTTTCACATGTGATAGCACCCAGTGCATAGTAGGTCCTCAGCCAATAGTTATTGACTCTGCAGTCTAGTGTTGAGAGGACAGTGTTCTGGTAGGCAGTGTTTCTGTCTATGAAAAACCTTTTTTTTAAAAAAAAAAAAAATACAACATGTTGTTGTTGTTATGTGCCGTCGAGTCGGACCTGACTCTTAGTGACCCCTCCTTGGGTTTCCGAGGCAGTATCACTACGGAAGTAGATTGCCCCATCTTCCTTCCGAGGAGTGGCTGGTGGATTTGAACCTCCAGCCTTCTGGTTAGCAGTCAAGTGCCTTAGGCACTATGCTACCAGAGCTCCCACAACAAACATACATATATATATATATATATATATATATATATATATAAAATTGACTAGTTATTGCTTTCTTTCATAGAATCTTATGATATAGGCTTATTGTAGCAAAACAGACCTCTCAGAGATGAACAGAGAAACATGCAAAGCAAACGACCGGTTTCCATCTCCATCCTCTTTCTTCTCCCTTTCCCCCTACCCAAGTGATAACTGTATACTTTCATCCATCCACACTTCTCTGTAGGAAAGAGCCCTATTTTAATGGGAATTATGAAAAATTATGTATGTAAGCTTTTTTAAACTGATGGGAATTTTCAGACATACATGAAAGTAGAGAGAGTAATGAATTCCACTGTGCCCGTAACCCAACTTCAGCTTTTATCAACACTTTGCCAAGCTTAGGGTCCACAGTTTAAACGTTTTCTGTTGGATAAAATCATACATAAGCTGGTCTTTTACTTCATTTTCATGAAAATCTGTGCTTCTGCTTCTCTTTCACCGAGCACCTGCTTCAGGCCAGTCCTGTGTCGGACTTTGAAGCTTGGGGTTGAATCCACAAGGCTGTCTAGCCTGGCTTGGTTTTGGGTGCATGAGGCCAGCAGATAAGGAGTTGAGAAGTGTTCTAGACACATCCCAGCTCTGGCTGCCCACTGGTCCTGTCTGCTCATCCCTGGTGATTGCACCCAGGCTCACGTGGCGTATGTTCTGAAAATAGCTCTGCATATCAGAGACTGTGGCAAAGACTTATAAACATTGATAGGCCAAAACCTCTGGCTTTGCTTGCTACTCTCCAGGAGATCTTTGCTTTCTGGTGTTACAGGTTGTCTTAGTTCTTTAGTGCTGCTATAACAGAACTAACCACATGTGAGTGGCTTTAACAAACAGAAATTTATTTTCTCAAAATTTAGGAGGTTAGAAGTACAAATTCAGGTCACAAGCTCTAAAAAGGAAGGTTTTCTCTTTCTTTTGGCTCTTGGGAAAGGTCCTTGTTCCTTGATAGTCTGATTGTGGCTTGGCACCTGCCTTTCCCCATCTCTGCTTGCTTAATCTGTTTTTCTTGTATCTCAAAAGAGATGGATTTAAGACACACCTTATACTATACAGCCTCATCAACATAACAAAGAAAACCCATTCCCACTAGGATTAATTATAACCTCAGGTATAGGGATTAGCATTTAAAACCCATATTTTGGGGGGACAGAATTTATAACACAGGTAAACAGTTAAAGTAAAATTTACTTCCTGGAATTCTACCCTGTTTTGAATTCTTTCTAGATTACCCAGCTCGCTAAATTTCTCGAGGGCAGGGGTCATTTTTTATATTGAACCTTTCCCAGCCAAGGCAGGCCTTGTAGAATAGAGTGTTCATAAGCAGTGGTTTTAAAGTTGTCAGTACAGAAAATGGCCACTGGGCGGCATGATTTATTCATACACAAGCTTTGGTTACTCCTGCCAAGCAAAGGCAGTATTCCAGGGTTGTAAACTGGAGTGGAATGTGCCAGAATAAATGCCCAGGAACTTTTGTGTTTCATTACCTGTTCCCCTTTGCTCCCTACTCCCAAGACAAATCCCCATCCCTGCAAAAGCTCAGTGCTGAAGGTGCTGTGGCATAGATGGGGCACTGTGAGGTCTAGAGGCTGGAGGTGAAAACGCCACTTTCAGGAGATATCAAGACCAGGTGACTTGTCAGATCTTGTCCAGTTCAGCGTGTCCATCATCCTTTGGTTTTCCAGACCTGGTTTAGCTGTAGGGGCCTACCTCGATCTGGAGACTATGGTTTATCCAGGTGGAACCCAGGTGTGCAGGTCAACTGTAGGCCTCGAATGGGGAGTGTATTCCGCTGAGCACATCCTCCCCAGCTTCCTGGACTGACCTTAGCTGCTGGACAGTCCAGGCCTTGGGACCCAGCCTTCCTCGGGCTGCAGGGCTGTGAGTCCAGCTCAGTCCTTGGAGCAAGAGGCCTTTGGCAGGCATTTCTGCAAAGGCATCTGCCTAAAAGGAATGCCTGTATTCCAAAGCCAGCTTCCAGGGCCATGGAGGCCCCATCTATGACCTGCCCTCCCAGGGCTGATTCTCGTTGGAGGTTTTCTGTAGGAGGGGCTGCATGGAAGGGGCTTGCTCATGAATTTTCTCTTTAGAAAGCTATAGGTTTTGCTGATCTCCCTGCTTCCCCCGTTCTCCCTGACCCCAGTGAACGACCTGAGGAACGCCGCGCCCTGTGCGGTCAGCTACCTGCTCTTTGATCAGAACGACAAGGTCATGAAACAGAACCTGGTATATTACCAGTACCACCAGGAGAAGTGGGGCCTCTCAGACGAGCATTTCCAGCCTAGGCCAGTAAGTGCCATGCCAGTGCCCTGAGCATTGCTTTCCCTTTTCTCCTCCTCTTTCTCACTTTCAGGAGACTCCTGTGAATGCTGAGATAACAGGTTCTTTCTGAAATGAAGAAAAAAAAAAATTCTGTAGTTAGTTCTTTCTTTTAACATTTTACTGCTTTATTTCTGATACCTAAATTCCTTAAAACTCTAACAATTGCAAATACTACAGAAACATTTTACTTAGAAAGTGAAATTCCCTCCTAAGCCTACTCCTTTCTTACCCCTCTTTATTGGTAAACATTTATTCATATATACAGCCTGTTTATTGTTACAAAAAAGGGATCATACTATTCTACATACTGTTTGCAGCGTGCATGATCTTTCTAACACTTCCTCATGAACATTTTTCTATGTCACACTTATATATCATTTTCTTTTCTGATGGTTTTGTGGTATATGCCTTTTGAGGGATGAACAACCATTTAATGGACAAACTCATAGTTTTGCATCCAATGTCAAAACAAAGAATTCCATTAATTATATACTACTTTCAAAAGATCTTTTTCTGTTCATCTTTGCCTTTAACTTACATTGCCATTGGGATTTCTCTATGCTGTCCTGAGTTGCCATATACACATTTTTCTACCCACTTCACTCCCCTGCTAACACACACACACACTCATACACTCTTTCTCTTTTGCTTGCTCATTCACTGGGTTGACTATGCTTTTTATAACTGAGATATTCACATATAATGAAATTCACTTTTTAAAAATCTACAGTTCAGTGAGTTGTAATACATTCATAGACTTCTACAACCATCCCTACTATCTGATTTTATTAATTTTTCCTGACTTTTTATGAGATACAAAGTGAACTAACAATATTGTTGTTGTTGTCAGCTGCTGTCAAGTCGACTCCCTGATGCATGGTGACCCCATGCTCTCCACTGGCTCATTTTAGAACATTTTCATCACCCTCACTCCAAAGAGAAACCCCATTCTTCCCTTTCCGTGAAAGTAGACAAACTCTAGTCTACTTTTTGTCTCTCTGGATTTGCCTCTTCTATATATTTTGTGTAAATGGAATAATACATGTTTATCCATTCATCTGTTGATGGACATTTGAGTTGTTTCTGCTTTTTGACGATTCTGAATACTATGAACATTCATGTACAACTTTTTATTTGGACATATATTTTCCTTTCTTTGAGTATAAACCTAGGAGTAGGATTGTTGGGTCATAGTAACTCTATGTTTAACCTTTTGAGAAGCTGCCAGACTTTCCAAAGTGGATGCAACATTCTATATTTCTACCAGCAGTGTACGAGGGTTCCAGTTTCTCCACATCCCCTCCACCCCTTGTTATTGTCTGTCTTTTTGATGATAGCCTCCGAGTGTGGGTGTGTGTCCACTCTTGTTTAAAGTCAGTCTTCTGGTTGTTGTTTTAACTTAGGCACTGTGCTTAGATCCTAGCGTAGACTAGCAAAGGAATACCAAGTTGGGATCATTTCACTTTAAAAAGTTGAAGTTTTGACATCAGAAGTGTGGTCATATAAATGGTTCTCTGTTTGTGTCTGAACAGGAAGCACTTCAGTTCTTTAACGTGACTACACTGCAGAAAGAGCTGTATGACTTTGCTAAGGAAAATATAATGGATGATGATGAGGTAAGTTTTCATGTTCAGCACATGTCTGGCTAAGAGAAAATATTACTCACATTCTCACTAAAATCACTGGGAGGCCGAGTTGTCCCCAGAAATAAGAAACAGAAGGGGATCTTGAGAAATATGGTTTATGTGAGTATTTTAATGAAAGTCAGAACACCGGCACGGAAGAGAACGGCTTTCTAGGAAACTGCGGCCAAAGTGCCACATTTCCTGACGGGGAATACAGAGCGACACTCCTGGAGTTCATCATGCAATCATGCAACTGCCTTTTATTTTTAATATAAAAAAAAAATCATTTTAATTGTAAAATGAATTATACATGCAGATGATTGTTAAAGACATAGCTGTACATTCTTGAAGAATCAAGTTTAAGCCTCTGTAAGCAAAACACAGGTTATGAAATGGAAAGGTGCCAGGACCCAAGGAAGCCTCTTTGTGTACCCCCTGCTCCTTCCTCTCTGAGGTTACAGAACCCCTGTTCTTGGGATACTTTGGGTGACCTTAATCATTTTACCATCTAAGTGTGCTCCCTTTCAATCATGAATTGTTTAGTTTTCCTGTTTTTGAGATTTTTTATGAATGGAATCACAGCACATCTTCTTGTATGACTTGCTTCTTTCCCTTGATGTTAGCTTTGTGATACTCACGTAACTGCTTTTTTTTTTTTTACTTTGTAAAAATGCATTGAATTTTTAATTGCTCAGCCCTCTGAAGTTACTTGGAACCCTGCTTCCCCCCATCCCCACCCTAATTTTTATATGAGACTCTTACTGATATGGGGGATTTTTTTAGGTCCTTACTCTTAAATCACTTTATAATTTTCTGGAATTGCTTGAAATTCCTGATTGTCACTCATTTGACTTCTTTTTTGTAAAAGACTGAACTGCTTATGAAGTTGTCATTTGTGGTGGGACAGCCTAGTCACAGAGAAGCCATCATTAGGGGCAATATTAAGAGCCAACCAGGAAATGCTTTTTAAGGAAACTAAGGACTTATTGGAATTTGAGGTGTAAGAAAGCTGTAAGCCACTTCTGGTCTCACCCCTCACTTTCTAAATGAGGAGCTTGAGAGACAGAATAGCCATCTGAGCTGCCATTCCAGGGCCTGGAGACCCTGAGCTTCCAGGTTTGCAGTTCCCGCTGCCCCAGTTTTAGGTGGGGAGCCTCTAAAGCAGACGTTGTCCTGTAATTTGTTTGATGCTCAAGAATCTGCATGGGATAGACCCATCTCTAGGCATTCTTTTTTCTTTACTGAGCCTCAGTTCTTTGTCTCTAAAAGGGAAGTAATAATATTGATCCCACACGGTTGTGAGAATGAAATGCTTGTTGCATGTGGAAGTGATAAACCGGGAAGTGATACACGTGCTGTGTGTCTTGGGTTGTGTCCCCTTGAAGACAGAATCACAAGGAGGCTGCAGGGGCCATTATCTCAAGGAAGGAGTGCTGCCAGATACACAGAAGGCTCATGCTATGGTTTGAAAAGAAATTTTTTTAGAAGTGGGGTTAGAGGAATTAAATTCTCAATGATCACAGACAAAGTACTATTTTCATTTTGGTTTATATTATTTTAGTTCTTTCTTTATATCTTTCAAATATATTTGTTATAAACTCAACTATAATGTATATCATGGCTTTTCTGTGTCACATTATGAGTAGTTTCTCTTTTATTATTATTATTTAAAAGCTTTATTGAGATATTATTCACATACCATGTTGCTGCTGTTGTTATGTGCTGTCGAGTTGGACCCAACTCATAGAGACCCCTCCTTGGGTTTCCGAGGCAGAATCACTACGGAAGTAGATTGCCCCATCTTCCTTCCGAGGAGTGGCTGGTGGGTTTGAACTGCCAGCCTTCTGGCTAGCTGTCAAGTGCCTTACTACGCTACCAGAGCACATACCATAATACATAGATAATTCATTGGTTTTTAGTACATTCACAAAGTTGTACAACCATCACCACTATTTGATTTTGCAATATTTTCATCACCCCAAAAAGAAATCCTATACCCATTAGTAGCCACTCCCTGTTCAGTTTTTTTTTTGTCCATATTTTAATTGGGTACTTTGTCTTTTTATTGTTAGGTCTTAAGAGGTTTTTTTTTTAATAAGATTTTTTTGGTTACAAGTTCCTTGTCAGCTATATTATTTGCAAATATTTTTTCACAATCTGTGGATTGTCTTTTTCATTTTTTCTTTCTTTTTTCTTCTTCTTTTTTTTTAAATTGTGATTTGGGTGCAGATTTACAGAGCAAATGGTTTTCCATTCCACAATTCATACACATTTTCTTTTGTGACATTCATTGTAGTCTGCATAATGTAACAGCACTTTGCCCATCTTTTCATTTCTTAGTAATGTCTTACAAAGCACAAAAGTTTTTAATTTTGACAAAATACAACTTATCTATTTTTTCTTTTCTTGATTATATTTTGGGGATCATATCTAAGAACCCGTTGTCTAATCTAAGGTCATAAAAATTTACTCCTATATTTTTTCTAAGATTTTTATCTTTACTTTTTAAGATTGATCTGTGAGCCACTTTGGAGTTAATTTTTGTGTATGGTTTGAGGTAGCATCCAACTTCATTCTTTTGCATGTGGATCCATAGTTATCCCAGCTCCATTTGTTGAAATAACTTTCTTTCTCCATTGAATTGTGTTGGCACCTGTGGTGTAATAAATTACATAGTGTGGCTTTTCTAGCCATAAGTGTTTGTAAACTCCATGGTAGAATTTGCTGTGACCAACTGAGTAGCCCCTGATTGTTAAAGTTATCCACCTGGGGTATTTCTGCTGGGAGCAGCACAAAGTAATTTTCTGGGAAGTTTGTTCTCTCTCAGGTGTATAGAATTCTGATCTTGGGATTGGTTAGTTTGGCCACTCTGCCAGGCTCAAAAGGAGCCCTCCTAGAGGCGGAAGGGGTCTCTCACTGCTGGCAGGGAGACCTGCATTTCTGAGAGAGAGATGCAAGAGACACTGAGAGACACACACTGCTGGGAGAGAGACTGAGAGACTGTTGGCTGAGAGAGAGCAGGCTGAGGGAGACTAAATGTGTTCCTGAACTTGAATTGTAGCCTGTTGCTTCCCTAATAAACCCCATAATCTGTGAGTTCTATGCAGCCACTGCAGCGAATTATTGAACCCAGAAGAGAGGTGGCAGGTGCTGCAGGAGGAATGGTTGGTGTCTGGGTTGGTTAAAGGGCTGGAGGGAGACAAGATGTCTGGCCTTGCAGGAATAGGCCTTGGGCTACTGATGGTGATTCTGTCTTCCTCTTGTGGGGTTAGAGGAGGTCAGAAGATGGTGCCTCCCTGCCCCTTTGGCAGCACCGTTGTTGGAATACACACACAAACTATAAGAATAAACAAGAGTAGCAAGTTTATTTATTGGCCATAAAGGTGAAAGTTTATTTATGGACTCTGGATTCTTTTTTATTGATCTATATTGCCAGTACCAGTACCACATTGTCTTGATTGTTGAAGTTTTGTAGTAAATTTGGAAACTGGAAACTGCAAGTCCTCCAACTTTTGTTCTTTGTTTTGGCTATTTTGGGCCCCTTATATTGCCATATGAATTATAGGATCAGATTTTTACTTTCTGCCAAAAGGCAGCTGAGAATTTTGATAGGATTTGTACTGAATCTATTTGAGGAGTATTGCCATCTGATCCATAAACATGGGATGCCTTTTTGTTTATTTAGGTCTTCTTTAATTTCTTTCAGCAATGTTTTCTACAATTTATTCCTAAGTACTTTTGTAGGTGTGATTATAGATGGAATTGTTTTCTTATTTTTATATTCTGATTGTTTCTTCCTAGTGTATATATTAGGCACTCTGGTAGTATAGTGCCTAAGGTATTTGACTGCTAAGCAGAAGACTGGCGGTTCAAACCTACCAGCTACTCCTTGGAAGGAAGATTGGGGAATCTACTTCTGTTGAGATACCACCTTAGAAACCCAAGGAGGGGTTACTATCAGTAGGATCCAACTATTGGTAGTGAATTTGTTTTTTTGATTTGGAGTGTATATAATGGTAGTAAGTTTGGTTTTTTGGTTTGGAGTGTATATACTGATATTGTATCCTCAAGTGTTGCTGATCTCGTTTATTCTAATAGTTTTTGCATGTGTATGTGAATTCCTTAGGAGTTTCTATGTGTAAAAACATGTCATTTATGAATAGAGTTAGTTTTACTTCTTCCTTTGCAACCTGGATGTGTTTTATTTCTTTTTCTTGCCTGGTGGCCCTGGCTAAATCCTTCAGCACAATGTTGAATGGAAATGCTGAGAATGGACACTCTTGTCTTATACCCACAAAAAGCATTCAGTCTTTCACCATTAAATATGGTGTTAACTGTGGGTTTTTTTTATAGATGTTCATTATCTGGTTGAGGAAGTTCCCTTCTAGTCCTAGCTTGTTGAATGTTTTTATCATGGAAGGTTATTAGATTTTGTCAAATGCTTTTTCTGTGTCTATTGAGAGGATCATGTCATTTTTGTTTCCCTTTTTAGTAATGTTCTAGTAATTTTTTCCTGATTGAGTAATATTCCATGACATGAGATTTTTAAATATAAAGCTCTTTTTTAAAAGATGTAGGTGGCTTCCAACTTTTTGCTCTTACAAATAACTCCCCAAACAAAACAATAACTATACCCAGTGGTATTGAATTGATTCTGACTCATAGTAACCCTGTTGGACAGAGTAGAACTGCCCTATAGGGTTTCCAAGGCTATAAATCTTTATGGAAGCAAACTGTCACATCTTTCTCTTGCATAGTGGCTGGTGGGTTCCAACTACTGACCTTTTGGTTAGCAGTTATGCACTTATGCACTGTACCACGAGGGCTCCTATAAATAACATACCTAAGCAAAACCAAACTCACTGTCATTGAATTGGTCCTGACTCATAGCAACTCCTCCTTGGGTTTCTGAGGCTGTATCTCTACTGGAGTAGATTGCCCAATCTTCCTTCCGAATAAATAACATAGCTGTGACTAAATTCTTCTCCACT